GATATTGTCGGTCCGCTGTGCCCGACAGAACTCCTGCCGGGCGACCTGGCGGAAGAATCCCGCTCTCGTCCCAGAGTTCATCTCAGCGGCGACATAAATCATCTGGCGCACGCGCACAGCAAGTTTGCGCTGTGGGCGGGGGTTCGTCGGCAGTTTGCCTTTGCCGGCCTCGGTGATGCCGTTCAGGATCTTTTCATTTCTCTCCTGACCAGAGTGCGGGTCGGGTAGTCCATGGTGACTTCGCCCATGTGCTTGACTGCACGTTCCGATTCTCGGGGCGAAAAGCGTAACGCTTCGCTGTTGTGGGTAGCGTTCCTCTTCTCACCAACGTCCATCAGAGAACGAGCGTGAAAAGGTAACTATATTCGGTCGAGGGTCCCCTTCGCGAAGTGCAGAGTCGCGATACTGGTCGTCGGGTCGCGTCCGCTTCTCTCTGACCGTCACTGTCCGTCTGACGCTACGCAGGATGCGTCAGGTTATAAACGGCGGGGCCGCTGGGCGGCGCCGGCGGGCGGCCTCCAAACACTGGGGATGGGGCGTTCTCGAGCCTTCGACGTTGTGCAATTCTAATGCGCCTGCGATCCCGCATGAAGCAGCAGCAGAGGCGCGCTATGTCGCAACCCTTGCAAAAAGCGACTACGGCTACGGGTAACCACATCCGGCTTATCTAATAATTAGCATACAAAGTAAACAAGGCAATGCATCTGCGTCGAACGAGTCGGTCTAAGTGCGTTGTTTTCGTTAGCGAGCCGAGCATCCCGCTGACGCGTTCACAATGGCGCAGTACCGACGCGTATTCAGTTACGCGTTACAATAGGCCCCCCCTAGCAACAAAAGAATGATAGCAGGGCAACAGCTATCATTAGTTGGCAGCAGTGCTGTCAACCAAGTACGTAGGGGCTCGGGAATAAACGGCTGACGCGTCACGGACTTCGTGAGCACGCGCCGAGACGCAGCGTAACCTAATCAGCGCACAACGCTAGATCTACGAGCCCAAAAATTTGTAACGTAGGGCGCGTTTCATTTTAACTATCACACTACCAATAGTCGAAATCCTGTTCTATGATTGGTCGGGGCGGCCATGATGGATTCGTGACGTGAAGGGTGTGACGTCACACTTGTCGACTACTGGACTGGCAAAACCTTTTAACATCTCGGTAGTCGGCGGGGCATCCACAAACATGGCGGCGCGCGGGACAGGCGACATGGCGTTAGTGCTTTGGATCTTTTAGTTAATGTGGGGGCTGCTAGGGATTTAGCGGGACATTATTTTGTAAGCTTGTGTCTTGATGATAACCTGTCTCTGGATGACTCCTGTTCTCATTGTAACATTTCACTTGGAAGCAGTTTCAGTCATTGCTGTAAGGACTTTTGGAATGCACATAGATCACAAAAATGTTGTATTTCCTGCCAGCAAAAAATACTTTGTTCACTGCCCTTCAGACCTCCACAGCATTGCAAAATCTACATCATGCTGACCTACAGCGAACACCACAACGAAAATACCATAGACACTGCAACACAGCCAGTGATCATCCAGCAGCACCACCAGCCTTGCTACAGCACCCAAAGCCTTTCCACTAGCTCTTTACGCACCACGACAGCGGATGGTTCAACGAGTACCGGATTTGTATGCTCCCGCAGTACTCCAGCTCTCAGTCGCATCTCTTCATCGGCATATACGCCTTCAGTGACCTCATTTTCACCGTCCTCCTTCCAAAAGTCATGCTCCTGAAGTGAAATGTTGTGAAGTACACAGGCTGCCACTATGAGCTTCGCAACTTTCTGAACTGACTGAGCTTCCACACAGGAGAGACGCCGAAATTTGCCTTCAGAATGCCAAAGGTTTTCTCCACAACCACACGTGTGCTTGAGATCAGATAGTTGTACTTCTTTTTCTTTTCCCTATTTTCTGCCAGTTGATTTTCCCAAAATGGTGTCATGAGCCAACTCTGTAGTTCAAAAGCAGAATCACCAACAATGAAACCATTTTGTGGCAGGATTGCATGTCTAGTGATTGGGTCTGCCAGCCTCTTACCCAGGGTACTCTTTCTAACCACACGTGAGTCATGAACTGACCCTGGCCACCCCACACAGATGTCCATGAACTTGTGGGATGAATCACAGAGGGCCATCAGATTAACTGAGAAGAAGCCCTTTCTGTTGATGTATGCCTCAGGATGATTATGAGGCTGTAGTATTCCTACATGACAACCGATCCAGAGCACCATACACATTGGGGACCCCCTTCAGCGACCTGAACCCCTCCATCACTTGTGCCATGCTTTCCAAAGGAAGTATGTTGATGAACAAATCCCTCATTGTGACCAGGTCTTCAATAACTTCATCCACAAACCTCCAAGCAGTGTATGTTGCCAAACCAAAGAGCGTTGCCACTTTTCTGAAGCTGATGATGCTTCCCAGGTACCAAAGAGTGAGGAGTACTTGTTTCTCTCTGGGATAAGGTTTCCTCCCCTGTCCAGAGGGATTCTCATCCCTTTCCCCCAAGAGTCCAACAATCCTCCGACCGTGCCCCTCTTCAATCTAAACTGTTCAGCGTACTGCTCGTCCGTTAGTAGTGGCACTGTTTTTCATAAAAGTCTCAATTTTTTCCAATCTCCTTCGGTCCCAAACTTCCCTGCAACATGTGGAGTATTATTAGATTGGAAAATTAACACCAGCAGGAACAGGTTAGGTCTGCAGACACATGCCAGGAAAGCATCAGGAAGGTATCACCAACAAAAACACGATGTTCAATATTTTAGGCAAAGGCCAATGGACGTTCTCATCACCCAATGTTATCATGCAAGCTTGTCCAGAGCTGTAAAAATGCATGGCTTAGTGTTGATCAAATCCTAATTCAAGGGTGCAGTTCCTATTCAGCTGGGGGGGGGGGGGGGGGGGGGGTTCAGCCCACCCACCCCCAACTTGGGCTTCATCTCCCCTCAAGTTTGATGTAAAGTGGGAAAGCATTTTCCGAAACTGCACCCCTAGCATTATCATTTATCATGTCTGATGCAACTCACCCATCAGGATCGCGGTAATGGACGACTTCAAGTGGGTCGTCGCCTAATGGAGCCACTGGGGCAATTTCTCTCTGTAATTCGTCAGACGTAAATGCTTCCATTCTCGTGTATGTTTTTGAGGTATGGATGACAAGCACACAAGATCTTTCCCGTTACTTATACCTTCATCTAACAGCTTTTTGACCGCGGTCGCGCTGCCGCCCACTCACAAACTTATTTTTCTTCCCAAATTTGATGGTCACAACTGCGCAGCTAATGTAACGCTCTCCAGTAGTCAGTAGCTGGTATGAAAACAGCCTAGCATCCGAGTGGGCGGGGCTTGTGTTCGTCTACCAATAACACAGTAGTTGAAATGAAACGCGGCCATAATCTATATAGCCCTATATAGTTATAGGAGCCCTACTCTGCCCTAGAGCTCCTTCCTGTGAAAATCCGCTTCGAGTTTCCTGGTGGGGGCATAATCAGGGTTCAGCTTCCATACCTTCACGGACTTGCCCCTCCGGTACACATCAGCCCTGACAGACCTCTCGGGCACCTTGTGGTACCCAGCATACTTGGTATCACACCTCATACGGCTGGGCAACACGACGGCGACATTCCACTTCTGCAGGTTCGGATCAGCCCATCCATCAGCTGTGGCGCACCCTTCACCAGGCTGGGCATAAAGCCAGTACCAAAGAACGCGGGGCACAGAGCGTGCGCTCCGACGCAAGACATACATAGGATGCCAAACACGGGTAGCGCACGCTCGGGCGACATATACATACGTCAGATACCTACATTACACAGAACATCAGACGGCGCGCAGCGCTACATAGTTGCGGCGGTTCGCATGAACATTGCATATCAAGCACACATGATCAGACACTGGATGACAGATAGATAGACATACATTAACTTAAGGCGCGCGGCGGTATATACATTGCTAGCACATCTGGCACGGGAGAAATGCCAGCGAACGGGGGCGATGTACAAACATGTAGACCTCACATCTCGGGTCGAACAGATCGCGGCGTGGCACGCTGTTGCGCGGGGCGACGAGCCACGGCGGTTACGCGTTACAATAACTCCTCGTTGTCTATCAGCACGGATGACAGCGTGGAAACACGATCTCGAGCTATTTTTTCCACGCCACGCCGTTGCTAATCTCACCAAGTCTCTGGTGTATAAAGGTGAGGTAGGCGCTTACAGCACATGTCATGCCCAAGCCGACGTCGGGGGACTGTTCGCAGGTGTCGTTGAGAGTCGCTCGGATTTTGCTTCGATGGGTCTCACTAGCGAGAATAAACCTCCAGTCGGGCACCGTTAGGCCTAGCTTACGCTCGAAGCTGTCCAGCGTGCTCCTTGATGACTTTGATGTCTTAGCGGTGGCGCACCACCCTGTGCTCAGGAACAGCCCATGACGGCCTGGGTGGATAGCCAGGGAGTCCCTGAGGACAGCTTGATCTAGACCCTCTGCTCTCGTGTTCGCAAAGCTCTGGGCTCGCGCTGTTCCCTGAAGGTTGATGGTGACTTTCAGTGCCTCGTGCTGGTCGGCCCTCAGAGGGATGTTTAGCGCTAGAGCCGTCTCGAGGTCGTCGGCTACCGACTGATGGGTGTTGTTGAAGACTTCACGTCGCTGGTCGCGCCGCCCGGCGGCGTCCTGGCATCTGCGATATTTGCTCGGCCGCATGTGGCGCGCCAGTACCCCCGATGCTGTTTTCTCACACGGCGGTGTTTTCGGTGTGGCGCCGCATGGGCATGACATGGTTTCATCGCAGCCTTCAGCCGTGTAGGGGGTGGTGCGGGTCTTGTGTTTGGCCCAGGTTTTGAGCGGGCAGGGGTCCAGCGCGCAGGTGTGGTGCCGGACCCCGCTCGTCATCACCAGCTTTCCGCAGGGACAAACATAGCATCCCGACACCTGGGTCCATTCGGGTGTAGCGGGACCAGCCGCTACTTGAACGCACCCTGAAGTGGGGCCTTGGACAAGCTTAGGCCCGTGGTTGCCTTCTGATGGCCCCTGAGTGTCGTCTGTGACAGCGGTCATGGAAATGGACGTGGCTGGCTCCATGCCTGGGCCGGCCACGTCCATCTGCTCTGCAGGAGCTCCGTTTCCCTCTTGAGTTCCCCTCGTTCCCCCTTCCCCTTCTCCTCCTGAGTGTCATGCCACCCTGGTGGGTGGCAGGGTGGCATGACAGCAGCTTCCCGCAGGGAGCGTTCAAAGGCCTCTGCAAGTAGCAGCACCTTCTCCAGCGTAAGGTCCTTATCATGTGAGTACCTCTCTCGTAGCCTGTGGTGCACAGTCTTCTCGACAACCACATCACGAATGAGTTCATCGGTCATGGCACCGGATGCACATGATTTGGCCAGACCCCATATGGCGGACACAAGGTCTGCAGTGGACTCATCCACCAGTTGGCCACGCTGGCGGAAGGCAAACCTTTCCACTATTACATTGGTGCGTGACGTATAAAACTCACGCAATTGGCGCAGCGCCAAGTCGAAGTCTGTTTCGATGTCGGTCTTCACGCCTGGGGAAGGGTGCCAAAAAGGCGGTACGCCTCATCTCCGACACAGTGGAGGAGCACGGCGCGCTGGCGAGCGGGGCTGAAGGTTTCTCCGGAGATGGCGAGAAGGTAACTCTGGAATTTTCCTCCCCACGTAGGCCAGTCGACGATCGGCTTCTTTCAAAACAGGGCAGACGAAGGTCCACCGGAAGACCCTATTTCTCATAGTGGTGAGGACGCTGGTGTACATAAGTGGTGAACTAATACCATGGAAAGGTTAGTGTTACGAAATCACCTCTGGTGCATTCGCGTACACTATACAATGTCTTTGGGAGCGTCGTATACTTTTGTCCTGAGGGCATCGACCGCCACTGGTCGATTATTCTCCTCCAGTGTCTCTACGGCGCAAAAAAAGACTACGTCCAGTGGCTGCGTTTGGTGGGTGCTGCTCGGCGGCAGACAGATGAAGGATATGTCGTTTTCCTTGCAGGCCTTGATCACCCTCCGCGAGAGATGTGACGACAGGCTATCGCCAACAATGGCTTTCCCGCCAGTTTTCCGTTGGAGATACGGCAGGACGGATCCCGAAGAACCGGTCCTCGAATGATTGTTCATCGGACCACCCAGATGGTGAGAATGTGTACTTGGCACCACGCAGATGGTGAGAATGTGTACTTGGCACCAGCTGGACCGCCTGCTGTCCACTCCTGACTCAGATGGTGAGAATGTGTACTTGGCACCAGCTGGACCGCCTGCTGTCCACTCCTGACTCAGATTTGGCGCCTTGTGTACTACATATGGAGGCAGAAGCTCTCCAAATGCACTCCCACCAAACATCACTGACACTCCAGCCTTGCTGTGGTTTTTCACGGACTCTGGGTACTTCATACCCCTTTTCACAACGACTTTCTTACGGCTCGGATCGTCACCCAACGCCGTCTCATCGTAGTTGACTAGATTCTCGGGTGTCGCACCATCAAGAGATGTCTCGAGGTGTTTAAAGTACTCCTGAGTCGTTATGGGCGTCGACTTTTGCCCGAGACACTTGATGTTGCTCGACATGCGGTTTGTTAGGTCGTTCCGGTGCATGAAGCTCTGTGCCCAGTCCCATCCAGGCACGTTGTTGCTGGAATGTGGGTGTTTGGTGCCATTTCGGTCAAGGAAGGCCTTAACTATCATCCTAACGCCCATCGAAGTACAAGGAAATCTCCATTCCGCCATCTGAATCAGCCTCTTGGCGAGGTGTCTTTCTTCTGGCTCGCTTAGAGCGCAGGGACGACCTGGCTTCTGATCATGTATGCCAGATTGTTTGCCAATATCTGGCGGCTTAGACCACGCAAGAGAGCTGCCGTCCTCACAGACATACCACTGTTCACATCTTCAATCGCTTTCCTAATGGTGTCGTCAGTATAATTTCTATAGGGACGAGGATGAGGCATGGTGCAAATCAAGATACCTTATGGACTAGGCTTTGACCTGGAACTGAAACGCATGGATGAGGAAAAGTCATGACACTAAAAAAAACACAAAAAGTTATGCAAAGTTTCACCTGTGTATCCATTATTTAATGACTGCTATCTTACCTCCTAGGGTCCCATTTAAGGAAACAGGGGTGGCTGAAGTTTGCATGATGCCAACTTTAGCCACCTCTTCTCGCCTTAAGTTGCAGCTCCAGTAAAAAGGAACCAATAAATCATGTAATACTAAGTGAGCAATGGCAACAGAGGCTTAGAAGGTTGTGCAGAAATGCTTTTGCTGTGTTAGCTTTTCCTACTTGTCTAGGGGTATCATCAGTCACTTCATTTTTTAGGAAATTTGAAGAGTTTGAAGTCGCAAAATAATGAGTTCTGATTGGCAAAAGTACTGCTGTTCAGCTTCAAATCAGTCTTATAAGAATGTAACTCACTCTGGTAAAGTTCATAATCCCCACTTTGAAACATAACATGCTCATGATGGATTTAAACCCTGAACCGCAGTTTGGCTAAAGTTACCCTGAATGACCGATAGGGCTTGAACGCCCCATCTATCAAGATTCCTGTCTTCTCCTCGACGCCAAGGACCGTGTCGAGGTTGTCTTGCGCGGAGAGCTGCGTGCTTGGCGCTGGCGGTGGGCGGCGCCTCGGCGACTTCGGAGGAGCATGTCTCCTCCAGTACTTCGGCTGGGGGCAGCGTGGTCGTACCGGAAGCGCTGCCAGGGCTCCTGCAGTCCGCATCACCCCGGCCTGCCGCTTCGGGGACGGCCGGCTCATGCTCCTCTTCAGACGATTCACTACTAGAGCTGAGGTTGAGCTAAGCTTTTGCGGATTCCTGGATGGCGCGCTGTGCCTTTTGTGCGGAATCAGCCGTAGCAGTCTTGTCGTAAAAACGGACGGCCGTTTCGTAAGCGTGACACCGCACCTTTGCCTCTTCTTTGCTGGTTGTGCCTTTCAGGGCACCGGTCGCCTCGGGCTCACGCGTCAGCTGCACATGACATCTGCGGCCGTGGTTTCCCCGCACCAGCTCGTGGTACGCGAGGTTCTTACCATGCTGATCGCGCTGGCAGATACTCTGGACTCAGCAGTCTCCGTCTAGACGGAACAAGGAGCCAGGCGCCGGGCACATGATCAGGCTGTCTCGTAGGACGGCCTGGTCCTGAGCATTCGCTGACGTCGCCGCCAACCCCTGAGCGCGCGACGTGCCCTTGGTTAGCAGAGACCCTCAAGATATTTGTCTTCCCTGCGACCAGGGGCAGGTCTAGCTTCAAGGAAACAGAGAGTTCCTTAGCCTCTGATTGGTGGCTAGTGTTGAAGGTGGCCGTGCGCACATTGCGCCTGTCTGCAGCCGTTTGGTGACTGTGACGCGTGCTTTGTGACAGGTGACGCGCCAGCGCACGCGCCACCGTCTTGTCTGGGTCCGCTTTGCACACCACGGCGCCGCATGGGCAGAACACCACCTCGGTGGCGTGATAGGTGGAAAGACACTTGAAACGCAGGCAACTTTGCTTTTCGCACAACACAATGCGCTTGAGAGTACAGGGCTCAAAACTACACCTACCCCGTCCGTCCATACGACGGATGAGGCGTCCGACGGCGCTGTGCCGCGTGCTGTATGTGTGTGTGGGGTGAGGGTGGGGGTTGTCTGCGGTGGGCTGCGCGCGCTGCGCTGCTGCCGGGCCGGCGCTGGATGGTCGTGCATCGTCGGCCGCTGCTGTCACGCCTCCCCACGAGAGCGAATTTATACTAAGGACCCCGTTAATCAGCATACGAGCCAGACGGTGTAAGCGCACGACTCGGCGCGTTGTGACTCCGGTATACCCGACATCAACACACACTTCTGACACGAGCCACAAATGTCCGTTTTCAAGGGGCAGGCTACTGTCATGTGGCCCAGCAGGCCACACACAACACACGGCCTGGTCTGTACCTGGGGTACAGCCGCTGGAGCACTGATCATCCGGATACTGGTCGCCGTTACCTGGGTTGGCTGTTGACTGAACCGTCTTCTCTTTCGAAAGCTGCGATCACGGTCACAGCCTCATCCAGGACCTTGACGTTTCCCCGGATCAGCTCCCGGATGCATGCGGCCAGAAGCGGTGCAGGTGGAGGAGACAGAGCTGCCGCTGCTGGTGGCGCAGGGTGGGAAGCGTCGAGCAGGCAAGGAGTATCAGCTCCCCGATACGCAGTACAGTCCTCTTCGCATTGCGTTGCACACCAGATTATCCAGTGTTTACAGCCCTGATGGGTCCGGCATCCCACCCGGGATACGAGTTACCTCTGTTTCCAGCTCGCCCAGATCCTGTGACGCCCCCCCCCCCCCACAAATCACACTTCTGGCGCATGCCGTCGTTCACATCATCAGTCACACAACGTGAGGTTTGCGATCAATTTCTTTTCACTCGTTTTTTATCCCACTAAAAATGGGATAATCTTGTACGAGAGCCCGCCAGAAAGCCAGAGAGCCCGCTCCCCCGCACGCGTCCCATGAAACTTGTCCATACCGGTATTTTTTCCGCCATCTTGCGGTTCGCTTCTCACATGGCGAAATTAAACATTTCTCGGCCGTCACTGAAGATCATACAGGGAGTTGATATCTGGTTGAAAAGAGTAGGAAGTTAGTCGAGCGCGACCTTTGAGGGGGGAAGTAAGGAGATTGAAGCGTTAGGTCGAGATGCAAAAGTTTTACGCCAACAGCAATTGTGTTGAGTTCAAGCGGCGTGACAATGCGGTACAAACGACAGTTATCGACGTTTAGTGCCAAACCACCAGGGTGTGGATTTTATTTACGGCACAAAGTTGGAAAGGAAGATCTCCGGCCCGAAAGTGCATTCCAATAGCACGATCGTTGAGTGGAAGTGCCGGTCGTTGACACCGTTAGGAATTCCCCCGGCGAGAGCACGTGAAAAGTAGATAGTCTCGAAGATGGCGAAAAAGTCCGGCACATGACAGGAGAGAAGATGCTCCTAGAGAGGCGAGGTGAAGCGCGGCAGGCCGGCGGCGCAGGCGGCGGTGGCGTAGCACCGACGCAGCGCTGGGATCGTCTAAACAGGCAGGAACAAACCTGGAAAGGAGTGACACCGCGCCCAACTCTGCCCTCCGCCTTAAAAAGGACGGATGAGCCCAGAGGCAACCAAATGTTATCTCCGCCTGAAAACTTTTGCGTAGAGATATTTGTGTAGACATTATTGCGCTGCGGTGGACTGTAATCGTTCCGGAGCCGGGCTTTAAGTGGAAGGACGTTAATAGGTAGGGTGGACGACCGGCACTTTTTTATGAACCTCCAGCGAGTGCAGAGGGCATATTAGCACTCAAGGGCTATGACATCACCTGGGTTTGAACCTGGCCCCCTCTCGGTAGCCAAGGCCATTAGGCCATTACAAAGGCCGCAAGGCTATTGCGCCACCGAACTGTGGTATGGTGATAACGGCATGTTTGAATAATTCGTCGTCAAGCATCCGTACACATGTGCGCCGCAAAGGTCACGATGGCGGCGTTTACATGTGTTTTGCCTTTTCATGTGCTTGCGTATTTCGCGCCGATTGTGTAGCTGCTTACTTTGTTTCTTTGCCGCTTCTTCCAAACTGAACGCTCCTCACCACTCGCGCCAGCCGGCGTCCCAGCTACATGAAGTTAGTTCCATAGGCAGGAAACAGGCCATCCACGACTCGGGAATGGTTACATTCCAGCAGCGATCGCGTCTTCGGAGTTGCAATTTGCCCCTCACTGTCTATCACGTTTGCCTGCTTGCTTGACCGTTCCTCTGAAGCGAAGGCGTTGTGGTGGTCGAGAATCCGATTGCTCTTTAAGAAGGCATTATTGCGCTTTGATTCGCTATGAGGAAACTGAGTACCATTGTAATAAGAGTCAAGGGTCACGCATTAACGAAATCAAACGGACCCGACGTACTGGCAACTACTATGGAAGGTGTATAGTAGCTGTGGTTATTGTATGAATGACTTTATTTTCTCAAAAATATCCTTTCGCTTTTTCTGGCCTGTCGAATGTTGAGTGGTATCTAGTCACCGTTGGCTGCACAGCTCAATTCTATTTATCTCATGTCTGTTAAATCTCATTAAGTCTACGAGTGCATGAGGAGAGGAAGCATTCATGACGTACGTGCACGCATGTGTAAGATGGCTGTGAGCGATTCAAGGTCAGGCACTGAGTGTTTGCTTCATCGTACGTTTTGGCAGTGTGTACATTAGTCCAGGTTTGGTAGCTACACCGCTGCCGAACTGCTCTGTAACAACAGTACGAGCCTGTTGTGCCCAAAACACCTCCCATATTGCAGGCGCACTCGTTCAGTCATGGTCATACAGCTTCATGAACAGCTCCTTGCTTGAACTCCAGAATCACACTCCTTATATCACCACACGTGCACTGTTGTAAGCGATAAGATGCGACGCAGTCTACTTTTAACACCACCGTCACCATCACGAAAGCGCAAAAACGTGCGGCCAGTCACGGGCTGCATCGGGACGCTCCGGGTGCTCGGTGGTCGGATGATGTTGGCGCGGAGGCGAAGCGCCCGCCGGGGTCTTCTCCGTTCACCGTGTGGCCCCCGCCGCTAGTCCGTCCCTGGCGACTCGGGTACACCGGGCGCGGCCAGCTGAGCGTCGGCCCTCACAGACGTGTCGGCGTCCGCTGCAGGAGCGGCGCAGCGTGGCGCGGTTCCGGCGCCGCTGCAGCCCCTCCGTCAGTACGGTGGTCGTTTGCTCATTTGCGTGCTGAGCTGTTCGTCGTTTGTCTACACGTTTGCTTGCTGAGTTGTCGGTGCGAGGCTTGCTTCCTGTGCTTTTGCCTGCTTTCTTTCCAAGTCACCCTCTCGCTGATCTTGTCGTCCCAGTACCCCGAGTACAGTCGTGAAAATAGAAGGTCGGAAGGACGATGGTGAGAGTAAATATTTCTAGGTCGTTGCCACGCCATATATTTCCCTAAAAGGGCCACACCATTCGTGATGCTCAGGGATTGGAATGGTTTGTGAACTCAGTTTTTGTTTGAGCAGCAGCGGTCCTCATGTGGTGGTTGGGGTGGGAGCAAGTCGACATCAGGGCACGGGGCCCTCACAAAGGAACAGAAATTGACAACCCTGGCCCCATACCAGACAGGATGCAAAAGACAGATTAGGACAGAAGTGAATCTTGAATCTATCCATACCAATGGGTTTCATGTCGATCATTCGGTCGCTTATCTACAAATTCGTTGACAAACGGTCTTGCAGGCTTTCTTTTGCGAAAATGTGGTGATTCATCAGTGATGGTTTTTTACATGGACATGGAATAATTTTCAAGCACATGGCTTTTTCGGGCTTGAATAAAATTGCATGCCAAATGAATTCAAAGTATCGTTCTAGAACCTTAGTACACAAAAAACGCGTCACACCTCAGAGATCTTCGAAGTGACATCTAAAATATTCCCCACAATGCGAATCTGGGTCATCAGGCGGGCGCCAAGAACTCTTCAGCTCCGAGTATTTGTTAATGTAGGGGCTGGCTGCTGCCCTGTATACAGTTGAGGTGTTTTGTTCAGTTGGTCACAGTGCGTGTGTCCATGCTCTGTTGGGGGGGGGGGGATGCATGGAGGGTGCACGGGACGTGAACGCCACGCTGTGAAAGGACTTTCTGTTTGTGACTTCCTCAGCAAACCATGCACCGCAGGGCTCCGCTTTGAACGCAGCTAAGGAGGGAATGGGAGGCCTTACAGATCTGCGAAGGTCAGCTCTCTACAAGCAGCAGAAACTCGACTCTTCGTAGAATCGGCAGCAGGCTCTGATGGCAACGGAGACGCGTCGCTCAGTTCCGAATGCAGGTAAGACCCTGCCGGTCTCGCCAGTTTGTCACTTGATATCCCGCGCGGCAGTCGTCTTCATGGATTCAAAAAAGCTCCTCGTTTTTATGAGACTATGAGACGCTGCCGGCGGAGAAGCCCAGTGAGGAAGGCATAGCGCCGCGAGAGCAGCTGGCGACGGAGGTGGCTCAACAGCGCGCCGGGTGCTGACGCTGCTGTCTGTGATCCTGATCACTTACGTTTACAGGGACGAACCAGATATGGGCGGAGCGAGCCAGCCCAC